AAATTCCATCTATCCGAAACATATTTCAATGTATAAAAGATCGAAGCGAGTTTCCGAACGATTTTCCAAATCTCTTTGCTAGAAAGAAAGGGGTTCATTGGGAAGAGGGACGAAAGACGCTAATGTCGCTGTTTTGTGTGTCTTTTGTTTTGGAAGCGCCAATGCGACGGCAATGGCCCCACCCATCCGGATGGGCAAGCTGCAAGGCATAAAGCACAAGTGAATCAGCAGCCGCAGCAGCAGCTCCAGCAGCAGCCATAGCAGCAGAAGCAGCAGCAGCAGCAGCAGCAATAGCAGGCTCGTCATCAGCGTCGTCGTCTTCAGCAGTAACGTCATCGTCAGTGTCATCGGTACGGGGCAAGTGTCACTTGGCCAACGTGATCTCGTGCGCCCCGCACGGTGAACCGTCTCCCAATGGAGAATCGACGATCGATTCGGACGATCAAACCCGTTGTCGATCCGTGGAACCCTCCGTTCGCTCTTCTCGAGGCTCTCGAGCGGTTCCAATTGATCCCGAGTGATCCAGAATAGTCTGGAACGGTCCCGCTGTCCACGGAAACCCTGAAGCTTCTCGCCGGAGGCGTTCGAAACGCTCGGACGGATCGATCTTGGACGGAGGAGGATCGAAACCTGGAGGATCTCGTCCCGTATTGAAGATAGATCGCGGCTCGCCCGCCGGAAACCGAGGACAACGGGGGAGGACTTAGTGGGGACGATCCATGTCCACGTCGATTTTTAGTAACTATGATTGTCGCTGATCCTCCCAGGCTGAACTGTTGCCTAGCCGGGCTGGGAACCAGCCAGTGAACGAACTAAAAGCAGTCGGTTCGGTTGGCGGAGAAGGTTGCACGGCGTCCCGTGAGATCCCTTCGCTTTCGCGAGTGTACAGTACGCGGCTTCGATGATGGTCCTTTGCACGTACGGTCTTGGTGATCTATGGACCGACCGGAAGGATCGAAATTTTCGTTCGAATCTTTTCCAAGTTTTGCTAGTGGTCCTCGGAAGGATTTTAGAGATAGAAGAAAGAGGAGTCCTCGGGGGGAGGCTGGATTTCCTCTTGTTGTCCTTGCAGGTTCAATCAAATCAAAGTCTCTTCGGGTACTCTGGGTTCCTCTGCGTTCGCGTAGTTGGCTGCCGCGATAGTCGTAGATTCTGTGTCCTCGTTGTTGTACGGTATTCTAATTTGTTCGGTTTAATCCTTTGCCTGCCTGACGGAAAAGAACTCTGTATCTTTGCAGCTTATGTTTCTTTCAAAATAGTCTGCGGAAACCACGATGTACTAGCGTAGAAGTATGTGGACAGGTGAAGCGGTTAAATGGAGGTTATCATTTGGTTCGTTGTTGATTGGTAATCGTTTAGTTTGTTATCTGGCTCCTCAGGGAAGTCTGGTTCTTAGAGGATAAGGATTATGTGTACCGCGGGAGGGAACGTCGAGCGAACTTACGAGGTTGGAAATATTCTTTTTTAGGAGTTTGATTCGTGCTGGTCGACGAGTGAATTGAAGAGCCAGCGAACGTGTCGGGGACCCAGGGATCGATCGACTGTAAAATATGTAGCATACCCGATCAACCGTGACTTGTACATAGAGAAAATCGTGAAAATCGATGACCGGACGAAGCGTCTGAAACGTCGATAGCGCTCGGAGCTGTGAAATGTAACACGAAGGGAACGCGCGAGTATCGAGACGATCGGCGATCGTGATTACACTTCGGATGATCCCTAAATACCAAGTAAAAGAGAACTAACGCGAGCGACCCCTCGGTTGTGATAAACGCTCGCTTTTATGAATCGATTAGCTCGACGAGCTCATGGCGAATCGATTCCCGCTGCAGACCAACATAAGTGTCCTGTAATTTCGTAACACCGTTTGTTAGATAGTAACATAAATAAATTCGAACGCATCTATGAACATGTCTAATTCTAAGAATGCAATTGTGACTTACCGCGAATGCGTAACTGTGATGAACAAGAAGTCACTGACGGTCAATTTGAATCGAGCACTGTTTCTTCACTGCTTCGTCAGACTAACGCAAGAAAATATTACATATCCGAACGCATTTGTGTTACAGCCTAATAACAGAATTCATTGTGGATCTCTTCCAAAAGCATTTCATTCATTTGTAATGACTTATGTTCAAAGAGGTGTCCCGTCGATTTTACCAAGGATAATGAGATCGTTAACGGGTGTACTTGTCGAATGTAAAAAGTGTGTGGTTTGCGGCAGTCGGTTCGCGAAATGGTCGTTGTTCACCCTGAGAAGCATCAAACATGAGTCGCGCCAACATCGATCGAGCGTACTGTACAGTCCGTGACCGCGCGACCTTCGCATTTCTCCACGCGTGAACCCGATCCGCGTTTGATCGGTTCGCTCGGGGAAGGGCGATCGTTTAGCACGATTTAAGGCTTCCCGTTCCATCAGCACGCCTCTCCTCGACTTGTCGCGTCTTCTTCGGCCCCTCATTTTTATACGATTAAGCCGTGCTCGGCGAAAGATTGTAGGTGTTTAATCACGTGTGGGTTTGGTCCTGTTCATGGAACGAGGCGATCGTAATTTCACCGAAGAGAACGATCCAACGAGACGCACCGAATGGGAAACTGGGATCACCTGCGAACAGCGCTGAACTCTGTCAATTATTGATTCGCGTTAACGGCTCGGTTCTGTTCGCAGGCGTTCCCTGAAAACGAAAAGGAAACGCTGTGACTATAATAGAGGGGAAATGTTTAGAAGTTTAGGGAAATGACAGGAGCGAAGAGAGTCAGGACGAAGAGATCGTTTGCGTACAGTAACCTAAATGAGTTCTAGTTGGAAATGATCATTGCTCTGATTCGATCGTGAAATTGGAAAATATCGAGAGGTTCGATCGGCACCGCGTTATCAGCGGATTGTACCGGATTGCGCCTTCTCGTCGTTGTTGGGACTTAGTCCGGATCGGTGTTTTTTCTTTTACTATGTAGACATGGTCCTGTATAGGATGATTTTTTAATCGGCGAAAGCGATGTTGCTTGATTGTAAAATTGAGGCTTAAAGCTTTGAAAGGATGGCTATCGACGAACAGCGCCAAATTCTGTTCTCATTTTTACCGCCGGGACTTGGTTCTGTTCAAAATTCTCTATGAGCTCGAACTTAAAAGTAATTGTAAATTAGAATTGAATGTTAACGAGCGGCGAAGATGTGACTGTAGGCAGGGTGGTTGCCTACGAACGCTATTGGACTTGTATTCTTTGTAATTCCGAAGAATTGATTCTGTTTGTAATTGTTTGTAAAAAGTGACGAAGGAAATGCGTATTGTAATTTAATCGATTATAATGTTGAACGCTGTTGAACGCTACTCGGAATTCAGAAACGACAGGCGTACTCGGGAAAACGGATTGCCAATGAACAGCACCAAACTCTAATCTTCTCTGGCGTGTTAGGAAAGTCCCTCCGAAGTATCTATAAGTTCCATTAAAAATTCTCGTACCGATTAATCGATCGACTAAGCTAATATAAATAAGAAATTAACGAATTAGATTTTTATATTTCTATTATTATCTTTACTTTATATGTGGCATAAATATATATACGGCGATATATTTGAAATTATGTTTAGTTGAATTTAAGGAAATCTATGCACGTCTCACTCATATTATTTAATTATCGGATACGCCCGACGAAGTGGCGGAAAGATCGAGTGTTTTCCCTTGTATATTTTTTAAAGGAGTTTACTTGAAAACAAAAAAAAATTAGACCCATTCGTGTGTGTCAACGATCATGGTGACTAGCATTCGGACTAGAGCCTGTCGTAATGGGACTTTCCTAATACTCTGTTCTCACAGTGTGTTCTGTGTGCGTGTCCCTCTTCGTCCCGTGTGCTTGTATCTCGACTTACGTGTTCGTGTACGTGCGTAATTTCGTGTGCTCAGACTATGGAGACTCCGGGTGGAGGAGAGGAGAGAAAAAAGAGAGAGAGAGAGAGAGAGAGCGAGAGAGAATGTGAAAGAATGCGAGAGAGAGAGAAAGAGAGAGAGAGAGAGTGAGAGAGGTGAGAGATTGCTCTCGGACTTGCGTTAAAAGCGAGCGATAGACGTCGAATTGAATTTTGTAACTCGTGGCAACAAGAGAACTCGCTGTCCCCGGTTCCAACAATAATCGAAGCAAAAAGGAAACACGAACTGTGCAATACATTCTTTTCTATGAGCCTTCGTTCGCAATGATAACAAATTCTAAAACTAGCGTCTACGATATCGGTAGCTTTAAGTGTTTTGTATCTACTTTCAGAAGGAAAAAAAATAATTATCCGATTAAGTAAACATTTCACTCGTATTTATTGCAATTAACCATCAATACCGTGTGCGAATCGGAATTAAGTATACGCGATGCTTACGGGGACGATTTCGAGCATACTTTTCTTCGTTGAAACTCGAGAAGTCGGCGTGGGCCGTACACGATCGATCTCCATGCGAGTTCTTACCTCGAGTTAAGCTCTTCGAATTGAGATTGAGGGAAAGATCGCCTCGACGAATGAAGGATTTTTTACGTTTGCTACATTTGATTTTTATACACACGAATCCATGGCGTTGCTTCATTTCACTCGGAATTCCGTTGTGCTCTCACCGAGACCGGAAATCACGCGGCGACCGTTGCATGCATCTTCAGCCCCGAGTTTCAGGGAATAACGAAGACTCATACGACAAAATTCTGTTCCTTCCGTTTGAAATGCATCGAAGTGAACCCAACCATTCCGATGGATATTGACATCGTCGAGAAACCGACCGGATATCACGTTTGTCTGGAACGTGAGCGTTTGCTTTGAGTCCTCGAGTTCTCTTGACTGCGCGAGTCGACGCACATTGACTGTCGAGTGACAAGAATCTACCACCCTATCTTTATTTCCTCCGATCTGCTTCGTAATTTCATTTTTTTACTATACCAATTTATTTCAGTTAACGCGCGGGACAGCAAACCGTGGCTAACTTCACGGCGATGCAAAAGAATTCGAATAACATCCACCGTTATGGTAGTCAGTGTGTCGAGGAAAAGTTGCGAAAGTCCGAGAGACAATTCGAAGAAAGAGAAATCAGATTTCAATCAACGTCGCACGATCATTTCGACGAGAGAAGTGATTTTCCGAAAGGATAATTCGAATAACGATCGACTGGACCGATGAACCGATTGATACATGACCGGAAGAGAAGACAACTCCAATCGTTCCCGCCATGCATTTACTTCCATCCGTTCGCTGCTACATTTTCCATTCCTCT